GGGACCAACATCATGGTGCATAACAGTAATATAAGAAGAATATAAGAACAAAAGAAGCCAAATAATAACGGTAACTGCTAACCTCATTGCCTATTTGTGTGACACACAATGTTCTCTGTATATCATGGCCTGCAGCTAATGGAGGGGGATGATCTCTTTGGGAAATGACATTCGCTTTAGTCTGGGTTGCAGAGTGAAAATATCAAATGAGTCTCTCAGACTGCTGCTACAGTCGACAGTAGGACCACTGTACCGCCTGCCTGCCCACTCAGCTCGGACAAACAGCTACAAGAACAATACAGTACCTTCATTTACTATGGCTTTATTTCATTTGACTCCTTTTAGTTCATGACTTATTTTACTTTCTGAAGATGTGAATGGCTGCCTGCTTTTTGGGGGCGCCGACTAACATGTCTGATGACTTTGATGTGCAATCTGTGGGATGAGTAATAATAATGACATATATAATAATCTATAATATTAAAAATGTCAAAATACAAAAGATGACTGAGCTGTTTTTCCTGTCTAGTTAGAGTGATGGTACCTTGACAGAAGACTACAGTATGGATTAGCTGTCATTTTCCATTCATCAACTGATAAATGTGATCAGGACAGACAGCGAGCAGGATGGAGTAACATCTAGAGAGAAGCATCTAGAATGTTAATTTAGTTCCCTTCTTTTTCCAATTTAATTCAATGAAAATGTACTTTATTTATTTATGCGTGTCTTTATTATTATTATTATTTTAGTTTCATGACTGTTACATACTCTTACAACAGGATAAAAGAAGATTTACAATTTGTAATGGTAATATTCTGACCTCTAATGGCTGAAGTCGTAGTTGCATCCAACTTTCAATGGCAAAAAAGGCTAATTTAATTTTGTAAATCATTTCACTGTTGGAAACCATTATAATATATCAATTATTATTTCACCAAATGCAAAATACTGTATTTAAATTCAAAACCGCCTTAAGAAAACTTAACAAAACACTTAGATAACCCAAATTAAAATAGAAAGAAGGAGACAGCATAAAGGCAGACAACAGATACTGTGGAGTGGAATCGGATCGATTGCTCTGGTCTAGATATCACAGCCGCGCTCTGATTGGTCAACAGGTCCTGGCGCCAAAACAGCAAGGAGGAAGAGTTGACTTGTAAACACAGCCGGAGAGATTTCTGCTCAATACCACAGCACATATATTTGGTCTAAAACTACCTTTCGGCCGCATTCAGGCACAAAATGGATACACAGTCATATATGCCTGTACAGCCTGGGGTCGGGATGGAGGAGAATTTCCTGTCTCTCGACGATATTTTGGGCTCTCTCATGAAAGACTTCCCATCCGGACAGAGTGCGCTTTCCCCCGCCTGGGATACCTGGAGAAGTCGAGTGACACACAGGACATACCGGAGGTTAGTAAAGTTACTGAAGGAAAATGTAGGAAACGTCGTGATAGTCACAACGTTGTTAATGCTTTTCTTAAGAGAAACGCGCCTATCAGAAGTAGCGTTACACCTAAAGTAGTCCTGGTACATGACATTTGGTGGTGTAAAGAAAATTACTTCAAACCTTATACGATATTTTGCAGGTTAGTCTTACCTCTCAGTGTTGGTATTGGCACATATGTGGTAGGAAATGAAGTAAGACCCACTTACACCCACCGGCATACTTATTACCGACCAGAACTTCAACTGTTTTATTATCTGTGAGGAAATTTGGTTTGCATGTAGGCTGCATTAAAGCTGCAGTAGGCAACTTTCATACGAAATAATTTAAATATACAGCATATTTGCTGAAACTTTCCCTATATCCTTGACAGGGTAGAAACATGAGACAGATACTCTGTGAAACAATCAGGTTCCTCTGGCTCCTCCTAGAGATCCTAATGGGATTTAAAAGAATCCACTGGGCCTGAACGAAAACAACCAATCAGAGCTGAGAAAGATAGTTGATTATCGAGTCTCATTCCCAGGGCGTCAAATATTGATGCTGGGAATGAAACTCAACAATGAACTATCTTGGTTGATTTCACCAGGCAACAACCAATAGTGAAGATCATGAAGAAAATATAAACTACATAAACATATATAAGTAAACAACACTCATATGACATCAGGTCACAGTTCATTGTGGATACATGAAGTTACTCAAGATCATAATGAAATGTTGTTTGGTATGTTGCCTGTTATGTATATAATGTAGTTATATGTATTAAGATTTAGTTAGAGGTCTTTTTCACAGAAGGAAGAAAAAGCACCAGTGTAAATAATAAAATAAATCCTGGCTGAATCCAGTTCAGTTGTTTTCAGTTTCAGAGCCAGAGAGCTGGGGGTTGTGACAGTTACTCCCACTCTGAAGTGTGTTTCCTTTATCTCAGGGCACAAAGATGGAGCTCCCTCTGTGGCTCTCCAAAGGACTGTATGAGAGGAAGAGGAGAGTGTTGTCAGTTGAGCTTCCGAAGGTGTACAGAGAGGGCTGGAGGACCGTGTTCAACGCCGACCCCAACGTGGTGGACTTGCATAAGATGGGGCCCTACTACTATGGCCTGGGATCCCAGATGCTGCACTTTGATAGCCCAGAGAACCCAGAGATTGGACAGACGCTGCTGCAGGTGAACAATAACACAGAAGAGTTTGTTTAACATTAGAAGGCTACAGAATATCAAACCTCATCCTAATAGCACCTAGGTCTACACTGGGCAAGCATTAAAAAATAATAAATATTCACACCAGACAGGGGTCCTTGTTAAATACATTACACGTCATTTACGGTCATTTATTTACTTCATCAAGGACACAGCATGTCTCTGCACACACTGTAATGGATGTATGGGAACTGTGTGGCTGTGACCTCTGGGAGGTGAGACAACCCTGCAGGAGAAGAAAAAGGTATTGGCACATATGAAGTAAATGCAGGGACGTCAGTCAGTTTTCTCTTTAGTTATGAAATAAAGTGAGTGGGGTAAAAGTGCTGTATTTGCTTCCAAAATGTAGTGGAGTGGAAGCAAAAAGCAGCATAAAATAGAAATACTGAAAGTACCTCAAAATTGTACTTGCATACAGTACTTGAGTAATCTTGATCTTGATGTTTCTAATAGCAATTTGGCTGCCTGTTTTGTTGTTATTTATTCACTCTTTTGTGCCAGGGAAACGAAAAAAAACTACAAAGATTAGCATCTCTGCCTTGTTGCATCTCAGTCGGTTTCTCTTCTCATCCAAGATTTGAGACTCAGAGCAGAACAGCCGCTCGCTGTCCATGCTGCTGCATCGACCACACCTGTGTTTGCGTGCAATTTCTGCCAGTGCTGGAAAACAGCTGATTATATCTCCAATATCCGATACAACAGATAAACATCAGCCACTGTCAGACAACAAGGCGAATATCGGCCAAACATCAGTGTATCTAGCTTAAAATAAATAGAAAGTGATGTCAGCATCAAGCAGACGCCACATTTGCTACACAGAAAATGAGAGCACATGAATTTTTTCCTTTTGTTTTTGTTTTGCAGAACCACAGGTCATAAATAACAAACATTTTAAGCTGTTGCAGTTACTGTGTCACATTTTAACTAGAAGAGTACTGACTTGTGTACAGGCTTGAAATCCCCAAAACAGTTTTCTGGGTTTGTTTAAATGTGTGTTTTACATGTGTTGTAAAATAGAATATAAATACATATTGCACTGTACAACAGCCCTGATCAACAGACACAATGCAGAGTCAAAACAAAGGGAGCCAGTGTTATTTAATAGGCTACAACTAGGGGGTGCAATCAGATCAGAAAACATGGAAGACTACTGGTTGTTGGTGCAGCTGTTACCAGGCAGATTGACTCTCTAATCTCACTGTCTGACAATCAGAGGGTTGTTACACACCATAACTTCGTAGCCGTACACACCACCAGGCTTTTACATACTTTAAATGGTAAAATTGCCAGGTATTTCTTCAAGTAGTGTGTTTATTTATCAAATGAGTGAACACAGACTTTGTTATGAAGACCTGTTTACTACATCCAGCCTGTGTTCAGATGTACAACTGCTGGTGTTCACTACATTCATATAAATGATGCATAACTGCTTTTCTATAGAGGCATTTTAAAATGCAGCCCAGGGACTGTGCTACGAACCAAAATAATCGAGGTAGAAATGAGGATATTAGACATTCCATCTCATTACAGATTTATACATACATACCAGCTGCATTTATTGTAGAATGTTAGAACTCTGTGTAGTGTAGCAGGGACCAGTTCTGCACACACTCTTTGATGTTTCAGTATTTTTAAGAGCTGTTTTTTAAACATGGTCTTGCCTAAAGGCGAGTAACATGAAATACACATCTGAAGTTTAACACAACATTTTATATCAAAGGTGACTGCTTGTTCACGAATCAGGTCACTCTGATTAAAAGTGTTGCCAGCGTGCTCTCAAGATCCAGTGTGTAACATTAGGAGGATCTATCGGCTGAAATGGAATATATTATTCATAGGTACAGCGGGTAAAATAAGT